AATTACGCCGGGCTCACGGTGTCCCATTTTTCACGAAGTTCGCCGCGACGTCTTTACGCGGCGATCATTTTCGGCTGAACTGCGAAGGAACCTCGGATCTCTCCAATATTTAGTATCGGGACATTCCACATTCTCACCGTGATCAAGGAGAAGTGATTTCCAAGTGCAATATCGAATAAATACTCGTTTCCCCGTAATAACCTTAGGATTGTGGTCAACACACTTCCCGCATCGAAGCTACTATAAACAGCGATGACACTTTAATGGGCGGAAAGTGGAAAACAAAAACAATTTGATCTCCCGGAAGACTGCAATCAAGTGCGAGCTGTTCCGAGGAACATCGTAAAATCTTGCATCTCGGACGAGTAAAACGTCGACGCGCATCTCGAGAAACCGCTGCCACTCGGAACGAGCAGCTCGTTAAACCTCGAAAGTTCCGTATCCTTCGAATCGAATTAAAACCGTTCGACGTTTCCGTTGTTGGCTGCCCTCGCCGGGCGCACGAATTTTTGCCCGTTCGACCCGCGATCGCGCGGGGAATCCTGATCAGATAATAAATGGACGAATTCGATGTACTCGGAAAGTAGGCCAGAGAAAGAGGGAGAAAGAGATCGAGCGGGAACGTCGGCGTGATGCGTCGGTGCTTCATATGCGCCCCGGCGGAGGGGTAGGGATGGGGTGATGGTGGAAATTTGATTTGATAAATTGCCAGTCGATCGCCTACAATAACGTTAATACCAGATTCACACGCGAACCACTTGAATCCGCGGCACGGTGGAAATTTTCGGTTAAGTAGAACGGGGAACGTGTTACTCGGGCGTAGATATCCGCGGCGCTGCGTCTGTATTCAAATTCCATCGATTCCGAGCGCCGCGCCGATATACGCTGCCGTGTGCATTGCGTCGATGCTCCGCGGCGGCTCGAATAAATCCGTAATCGTCTGTAACATCTATTTACGCGCGATTTCATCGTTCGATTCCGCGCCGAACGTGCAACAGTGCCGGGAATATTTCAACGTTACACACGCCGGAACACGGTCGGGTGTGTGTAACTTGCTTCCGGTGAGTCTCGTTCGGCTGTACGAATTTGTTTCATCGAAGCCATAAGTACAGCTAGCGATAAATAACACTTTGACGATAAATCGGTAGTCTGTTCTGTATGGAGCATCGATTTTAGGGGAATAGGAAGAACTCTGTGCTGCTATCGTTTTATTCGGATCGCTTCCTATGGAATATCAATTATGATAGTGATGAATGTACCTCGAAATTGGATGTGATCCAGTTATTTAACCTTTATCATCCAATTCTTTACAACGATTCGTCATATTTTAGGGCGAACGTAGGAGTAGAATGTGCATAAGATTTTTCTTTTCTATGAATTATCAACGACGAAGCAGTTGCATCGATCATTGTTGAAAAAGAAATCACAGGGCAAGAAGTTGGGTGTCTACAAACGTTTCTTCGATCACCCTTGCAACCTTGGAGCAGCAGTAAAGTCGCACCGATCAAACAACGGCAGAATCTTTCGTTTACTTTCTCCGTATCGCGAACGTTTCCAGCGACTGATTGTTTACCCGCGGTACCGTTTACAATCGCGTTTTTACCCACGCGAATTCAATTTAGACGAGGAGAATGCTAACGAAATACGGGCTCGCTCGACGGGAATGGGCGTTAATGGTTCCAGAAGTGTGCCAAGTATATTATAATTGAGCCGAGAGTTTTGTGCAATCGAAGAATACGCGAGTCCTCGGCGAACCTATTACGCCGAACGCCCTACATATTCCCGGAGAGAAATATTCCAGTGTTCCGGCCGCCGTAGCTCGGCCTCCTTGAATATGTACCATCAAGAGTGAACGCCGGCTTCGATACGGCTGATCCTATCAGCGATAGTTTCTACGACGTCGTCGCTGCGTCGGTTCTACTCGAGCGACACGGTCGTTTGTAATCATTGATCATGACACACGAGAGCGTCGAAGTTCTCGTGAAAAGAAACGAATAGAGGAGACATTTTTCAACTGATGTTGAATTTTCGAGTGATCGAATCGTCGGCTAAGTAGACTGAATTCTCGCGCAGTTTCAAATCTTCATTGCCGTTATAATGAAGACGAGATGTCTAAATTCGAAAGCTGGAAGTGAATAATTTGATCGTTTAATTAACGAGAGATTGATACGTGGTCTCCTTTTTCTTAATATTTCCGATGCATAGCTCAGCTTTATGAAAATGATTTTCAAAAGTTTCAGAAGTTCCCGTCCGCAAAGGGTTAAGACCGTTTCGTTCCGAGGAATCATGCGCGGAATCATTTCACAGGGAACCGCTGCTTTATAACGCGTATTAAAGTTCCTGCTCTGCGAATATATTAACATCCATCGCGGGATAAAGGGTCAGCGGCTCAAGGGTATTCCGTTCGGCCGGATACAAGCGTCAAAGGAGTTTCGGCGGAAAGATTCAATTTAGATAATTGCCGGCCAAGCGTCCGTGGCTCAAAGGTATCGCGAAATATTAACAAAATTGCTCGGAGATTCGAGGGAATTTCATTAAAAACCGACCGCCCGCCCCGCCGACTTGCGCAACGCTTCATGATCCTTCGCGGGTATTAATGTTGTAATTGAGCTGGCCAAACAACGAACGATTATTGAATCGGGCGACGCCGCGATCGAAATTGAACGATAAATCAACCGTGGAACGCGGAATCGCTAGAGCCAACGCGCCGATTACCCCGTGACATCAGCATTAGGTTTGATAGCTGAATCTCGTCGAATCTCGCCTAATCTTATTTCCCCGCTAATAGCGTATTCGGTAATTAATCCTTTGAGACGGCGAATCGTCATATTGACATCAAGCTTTCATATCTGTGATACAAAGTTACAAACGAATAATGCAATCGCTCGGATAACGTTTCAGAGTTTAATATATACTCCAAGTTCCTCTGCTGGAGGTTTTAATAGACATCAGTGATGGTTAGCAAGATGAATAATCTCGTATTCATACATAATACAAGACGTTCGGAATAAATTGGCTCGTTCGGTTGAGCTCCACAGCTGAGAAACCGTTTCTTTTCTCGAGACTGTTCCCCCGGGTTCATTCGACCGAAGCACAGCATGAACTTCTATTTTAAAGTCCACTAGCGCGTCCTTTAAGCCGAGGATAAATTTCCGGTCCGAACTGCGGCGAACCGAGGTACGATCGAAACCGACTATCAGGATGCTCCGAAATTAACGAGACCGATGTACCGTGTAGCGCCGGCGAACCTCCCGTTCGGCTGCCAGCCGACTTAGGGCGTCCCGATTAGGAGAACGTAACGCTCGCCGAGCCTCGCGCCGGCCCCCGTGCTTCAACTTAACGGATAACGGGTTAAAAACGGTTTAGTGCCGGCCCGTTTCGAAAGGTTTATCGAAGGCAACGGTGGCTGCAGTTAAATGAAGCCCTCGCGTACGAGAGACCGGTCGTGCGTTTCAGAAATTCGGAAATTGTTGGCCCTACTTGGCCTGAATACGCCCGCCGAAACCGATCGAAAGTAATAAACTGAACGCCGGCCTGGAAACTCGGGGATTACCCTAAGACTAGGCTTCGGGCTCCCCGGATTGGATTTTCCTGTTGAAACGAAGATCGGGAAAGAATGACGAGGCGTTAGAAAATCGTTCGCGGGACCGATGTATTGTGGGAATCAAGAAATTCCAGGGAAATTCGATGGACTCTAAGGGTGCTGCACATATTCTGTTCGACCCTTACCGAGCGAATGTCTGCATTTCGGCGAGGAGAATTTTCATGTTTGGAATACTAACAAGGGAACGTTTTCAACAGCTCAATTTTCATGAAACTCGTGTGAGACAGTTCTCAAGGAAATCATCTCACTTTGAAGGGTGAAAACATTTCTCGAAGTTGAGGGTTGAAAGTGTAGGGACTAGTTGTTCAGAATGATGACTTCGAGAGTATGTTTTTAGGTCATTCAAATCGGTGGGTAATTGCTGTTGTAGATAATTAGCCATTATTTCTTAAGATAACGTATGTCTACCTGTTGGATCGTTTTCTTAGATCAAGTCGTTCGGAATTCACGACACACGGTTAATTATTGGGCAGATCGAGTTTCATTAGGAAATACTTTTCTCCCTGCGAGCGGTTGTCGAATCTACATCTCCTTCGTTCGAGTATTCGTGGTTTCCGTCGTGGAGGGAGCACGTAGCGTCGAGCTATTTCAGGAATTCGAATAATCCGAATGGCAAAACGAGAGCCGGACCCGATAGGACCGTATGATTTATTGCTCTCGCGTTTCCCTTTAATTTCGATTTTAATCCCGGGAGTTTCTTAATAATGTCATCGGCCAAGCAATTAGGACTTTCATTTAGTCTGCGTAGAAACCGCCTCGACTACTCTCTGTCGTTGATAAGCGGAATTTATGGAAATATTTGATATCTTTCATGAAATCGATTCTCATCTCTCGCATTCGAGCTTTTTCTAAGGTGGACCTCATAACTCCTACTTTTTAGGCTTCTTACGCATATGTATCGAATAACTTACATAAAAATAATAAACGAAAGCTCGATTTACATCGCGTTTTGGCTTATTTTAACCACAACCTCGACAATCTCACCAATTCACTGGCACTACATCTGAGAAAGTAAGATCCCCTTCAGTTCAACGGAGACGTGAAAAGACGTCAGTGAACAGTACCATCATTGCTGGGAACCTGGCACTCGTGACGTCATAGGGGCGGAGTCAGTCCCCCGAGAAATCCAATTGCGAGTCCGGAAAGGGCTCTTGGCGTGAGCCGATTGGTAGGCGTAAGTGTCTCAGCCAATCAGGCGTGCTTCGGATCCGACCACTCAGACGAGAGTGCCAGCTTCCCTGCAACGGACGGTAGCAAATCAAGCCAAATTACCGTTACGATGCAACAGCAAACAAAAGATCTCCACAAATATACGACTGGCTTTTGCCCCAGCCATACATAGGCAATACTAATAATAGGACAATTCTACAACTCTGCCTTTATTTCTGAATTCCAGTGGCAGAAAGACAGCATCGGACGCGGGGTGACGCGATGAGCGGCTGAGGCGGGTCACGGGTCGAGGAATCTTCGTTCGATTCCCATGCACGGCCTGACCGACCTCCGAGGAATCCCATGGTCGAGAGGCGAGAAGGAGCATGACGTAGCCGTCGACGAGGGGGGCGCTTCGGATGCTCCGGACTGCCGACTAGGGTCGTATGGAGGGGAAGGACGTAATCACCACGGAAGGCACCCTGCTTCTAAACCTGACGACCATCGCCACACGAGACGTCGACGGCTTCTTCGGAGGATTTCCCGGCAAAAACTCGCCCTACACGGCCACGCAGGTAAGATTGATGACCGAGCTACACCCCGGCCCCCCCCTCCTCAATCTCTCGAGCCACGCCGAACCACCCTTACGAAACTTCTTTCCACTTCCCGTGGGATCAGCAGTCTTTTAATCTGTCAGCTCACGCGGCCGTATCCATTAGCCCGAACTTAATAACCGCGCGGGCCGTAATGCAATCAGCCGTGGCTACTTTTCAGCTTCTGTGTCGCTGGGGCGGCGCGGCGCTACGTGACGCGAGTCTGCCCGAAGAAAATGGCCGCCCGAGACGTCCATCGGGTGCGTTGTTTTATTATTTCAGATCTTCGGAGTTGCTGCACTTGAACGCAACGAATCGCTTGTGTAAAATGATAAGTGAATTGGTTCTATGTAAATGAGGTGTATTTTAATTTCATGGGAATGACTGTTTATTAGAAATATTGATAATATTGTAATTTCAAGTGCGCCACTCGTTTGGCTTAATATCTTCTCCATTTTCGTAGTATTCACGACAGAGTTTCCAGTAGTTATAGTATAGTTAACGAGGCTGACGTTACGTTTAACGATACGGTCGCCGATGTCGGGAGGATACTGAGTGGAGATTACCGTAAAGAGCGTGAATAATTATTTCAGCTATGTTTGTAATAAGAAGATGCATGGGGCTGTCGTATGTCGAAGTTCTCGCGGTCGGAACTTTGAAACCCGTGCTGTTAACGATAAGTATATAATTAGTTTAGCTCGCGTTGACGCTGGGGAGCGAAGCGAAGGAAGCTCTTATTAGCGAGCCCGGGCAAAGTTTTAAATCATTTTTGCCTGATTACTACCCTGCTACGTTGTAACGGCGGAATTAAGGATAAGGTCGTAATGGATTGGGGATCTTCGTATATCTCGTAGATCTCGTCAATCTATATTGTCCCTTAAAAATTATAACTGTCTCTCCGCTAACAATTCGACTTGCCAAGTAAACGCTCGTCAAAACTCCTACGCGGTCGGAACAATTTCCTTAATACCAAGGAAACTAAAGAGTCAAGATCACATATCCAATCAAACTTAGTTCGTTCGATACGTCGCCAAGGAAATGAACGTTCGAGTTTAAGAATGGTGTCACTCGAATTCAGGTGACGTAACAGTCAAAATGTTAAGGGTTAAAAATGTTAAATCTAACAAGAAACCTTCCATACTTTCATTTTTTCGAAATTTAATTTGTTTTACTACATTAAACTACATTAAACTTTCGAATAAATTCTGGCAATTCTAGAGTCTTAAGGTCGAGCTTCTACATTTTAGATCGTTTCGAATAAAGTTTCAAATAAAGAAATACATTATTTACATAATACAGAGATTAATATTACGATACGAAGAATTATTGTTCGGATATTTCCGTAACCGACCCGAATGTCATCCAATTTACTGATCCGCGGTATCGGACTACCCCTTTAACTGAAATTACAGGCGAGTACAAGCGCATGGAATTTTAAGCAGGAATGTTTATGCCGCGCGCAATAGAATTCCCTACTCTGTCCCTCTTATTTATACCCTCCGCATCAGGATTGTAGATTTCTTTCCTTTCTTTTAAACGGCGTTTCCGTCCCGGCCTCATTGAAATTCTCTCGGCGGACCCCGGCCCGAGGAGTACAGCTTGCAGCGCATTGTGCGTCGCGCAACAATGGAGCATGCATTCTTAATCTACTTCGGGACTCTATTTCCGCGTCGGCGAAAAAAAAAAGAACGAAATCTGTCCGCGTTCGATAAAGCTGCTCGCGACGCGCTGACCCTTTCGCGACGCGGAGTTTTTCGGAAATCGTGACAGAAATGGAAATCTCGAGCGGGAACCTGCCCGCCATTGTTAAACTCGGAGTCCGTCGTTATGAAGCGATTCTGGGAACGTAACGAGACCTATTAACTTCGAGGATTTAATTTGTGGCCTTATTTGAAATGTGTAATATCGTATGTAACACATAGAATAATTAACATGTTGAAATATTACGTATTAATTAAATCAGGCGTTCATAAAATATAGTGAAATATAGGTAATAAATAGGTTGTACGCGTAAATTCATTAAATATACCTACGTTTTATTATGTTTCGCCATATATTTACTACAGATTCCAATATATTTTATAAACGTATAATAATCTCATCGAACGAGCACAGTTCAATTTTTCCACCATCGATGTCAACATCGCTCCCGATTTCCCGGCGTTCGTCATTAAATCCTCCAATTCGATGGAGATGTTGGCTTTACACGATGTTAATCGATACCCGCGCGCCTCGTTTTTCTCTCGGATTATCCGATTCGAAATATTACTGCGACATTTGACGCTCATAATGGCGTTAGCGCGAGATAATTGAGGCGCGCGTATCGTAAATTATGCCGTTTCATTGGTCCGACAGCAACGAAGCGACGAGAGCTAAGTAGTTACAGCTCGCGATCGGGTGACGCATAGTATCGGGAACGGGTAGCATTTTTCCCAAACGAGAACAATAGAAAAAAGGGAAAAAAGATTGTCGAGTAGGGCTCGGATTAAAAGACCCCGTTCACCGTTGTTTTTAATCAAAACAGTATACACCGTGCGCGATTGTCGACGCGTATCGGTTTTTTCCGGCGTAACGCTCGTTTCGAATTCGAGGATGATTCGCCCGAACGTTTCTGCAGAGTGCCTCTTGTTTCCGATTAAATATTCGAGCCGGCCCGGTGATTTTCTATTAAGCTACTCGAAAAATGTACACGCGCCGGATACTCCTCCCAATTAAATCAACGAGCGTGTCGCTGTTAAACAAATTCATCTCGTTACGAATATTAAAAGCGCCCGCTTTTTGATCCCGATCGTAGCGCGCTGGGACATTCAATTAACAAGATAAAACGCATCGATAGGAATTAACGTTATACCTTAAAAACGGGGGAAAAACGTCGACAAAGACATTTCCAAGTGTCGAATCGATGTCGAATTAATTGGTCGACCGGGGACTCGTTAATTTGTCAAATTATCGCTCCTCGAAATTAGCCTGCCACGGGCACGATTATGGAGTAATTCGATCTTCGATTTCAATCTTCCAAGTTGGATTAAAATCGACGACGGAGATCGAGTTAGAATCTTTGTCCTCGCAGATTTCACGGTTATTTTGCAAACGATGCAGCATTAATGGGATAATGGCAGCGAGTGATGGCAGTAATCGGAATCGGAATCTACGAAATCTTCGATAACCAAGTTAACTCTTGCACTCAATCACCACTTACTTCATACGTGAAATATTCGAATAAAACAACTTTGTTCCTCAATGTACTAGTAATCTTCCTTCGAGTTAGTTTCAAAAAATATCGCCTCTGTTTTGTCAAGAAACTTGAAAATCAGCAATGTTCCTACTTCCAACCCTTTGAACTCGGAAGTTTCTCGCTAGAAATATTTAACGACTGTTCAATCTTCGTTAGGCGAACAGTCGAATTCGGGGGTGTTTCCAGGAGCGGCCGCGCCGCGCGACGCGAAGGGGTGGCTCGCTTTTATTACGGCTAATATCGAGCGCGCGTATGCTTGAATCATGCATGGGCAAAGTAGGTTATTGGCTCATCACGCTGGCGCGCGTTCAATATTCATGCATCGGTAATAAATAAGAGATTCGCGCGTCTTTTTATGGGAGAACCGCCGCGAGCGCCGTCGATCCCGATCCACCGGGAACTTTGTGCCGCCGTGGATTTGTTACGGCCCGTAAACCGCCGCTCAGCCCCATCGGAAAAAACCACTTAACAGGTAAACGCCGCTTGAAAAAGTGAAAACGCGCGGAATGTCCTGAGAGCATTAAGGCGCTTCTTGCTCTTCGCTTCTGCATTAAGCCTTGGATCTCGAGCTACCGAACTGACGTCCACTGACACCGTAATCTACTTCTTTACGGGAAGAATGCTTTAACCCTTGCGGTCGAAGATTCTTAAATATACGAAACCGTAGATGAAGCTAAATTATGTATCTGAAGGGTTAACATTGGAGATGAGCAGGTAGATTAACTTTCAATTTTCTATTCAGACTTGATATTGATAGGATAAACAAAGTGATAGGATAAACCTAAGCTAAAATATACGTGAATTGGAATCTCAGTAAATTTTCATAAATGGAAGAGAAGAGACGATCAGTGTTACTGCTCGACATTTAAGTTAAACATCCATTGAATAAAATCCTCCAAAGCAATTTCTCGACGGTTCATTTCCCCAAACTTTGATCCACATGGCACAGCGCTCATTAAAAACCGCTCAACGATACTCTTTTTCCTGTTAGCCGCGCCCGAGGAGCGTTTCGCGTAGAAATGAAATCTCCGCGGATTAAAATTCAGCGACAGCTGGCGAGGCGGGCAGTTTGCGCGGGCATAACAAGGCAAACATGTCCCCGCGATTGCATACGATTTTCATTTTAATCGAATCGGCGGCCGAGTGGCCGCGATTCGATCGTTTCCGCCGATGGGAACTTGTCCCGGCTGTTTTCCGCCAGTGCGTGCCGTTTATTTCTCGATTTCCGGGATTGATGCTGGGGTCGCGACCCGTTATTACGCGGCCGGGCCACAGATCGGGCGTGAAAATATGGCGCGGCGCGGCGCGCGGCCGCCGCCGTTCCAACAATAACGTTTTGTAATTCGATGATGGATGCCACGCGGAACCGGTAATAACGCGCGTAATTTTTCCCATGAGAACACCGGCCCGCAGTAAGCCGGACGGCAAATATAGCGCGCGCGGACGCAGCGGCGGTCGCCGCGCGAAAGATCATCTGAAATGGAACTGTACCCGTTTGATATGCTATCCAATTTAATCGCGAAGGTAATTCCACAGTTTATAACGCGGCTCCATTGTTTGTAACTGAACTGTGGTTCAATTTACCGCGACGCTTGTTGCAATCTTAGAAATAAACAATCACCTCCGAAATAGCTCGGGGACAATGGAAATTAACGTTTTATCTGCTAGCTTAGAAGCTATAGCTCTGTATAGCAAGGTTTCACGCGGTCTGCGTGTCATAAATATGATATCAGTGCGATTGGAGACTGATAGAATGTCCCACTGTGCAATTACGTTAGAGTAGACCATAATGTGCACTACTATCGATGGCAGAGAGGATTGTGCTATAATGGTACTTATACTGTTCCGTTCAGAAAGATGTGCAAGGAAGCCACTGTAGTACAGTAGCTACAGGTTAATTAAACCTTGATATTCGTCTCGATCCTCGCATTTATTTTCCATGTTTAATCAGCTTTGTTCTACTTAATGCTTCTTTGAGAAATCGTTAAAGAAGCTGATTTAGTAATACCTAATACAATAGCACCTAACAACTAATACAATAACACTAAACCAACTGAAATCTTAATTAACACACGGTTATAAATCTTATAAAAAAATTTATTAAAGTCAGTTTAAGTGCTTGGTAGTTCTAGTGCTAATATGGCGTCGCGTGAAGGTTAATGTGATTCTAGTTTTTGGAACCTATAGGTGTTTCATAAGCTGTTTAATCATTACAGTTGGTGTTGTATGATTGGAATTATCGTAATTGATATTGTGCAATTGAAATAGTATGCTTATTTTTCCATTTAAATAGTGTACTTACCCGAAATACTCTCGTGTACCCAGGGACCGGTTGAATCGACGAATAACGGTCGATGGGGATATCTGAAAATATTGATGACATCGAATGTTGTAGCATAGGTATCAACGTACGATTTGTTGGTTAATGAACTGTTCTGCATTAATTAGATTATATGAAGTATGCTTACCATGGTATTAACGTTTATAATTACACTAGATTTTAATTATTTGCCACTGTTAACCACGCACTGCACACACGGGACACTTTTTCGAAGCGGGATTGCAGCACGCATGCGCGAGGATGCGCACGCAGCATGTGTCCCGTTAACATAGCCGCAGAGCTCCGGGATATCCAATGCGCGTGCGCGGGAATATTCCAGAACACAATTTCGAGTAAATTAATAGCTTTAGGAATATAAATAAAAATATTCTAACATTTATATTACAATCGAGTTATATGTAAATGGTAAAAGTAGTCTTTCAAACAAGATTAAGTTCAATCTGTATACATATCATACACTCAATTTTTATGTCACAGTTCCAACTTTCCCGCGCTTTTAAACATTCTTCGCGCGCAACCTTCTTTCCCGCTTTCGTCCCGTGGCCTTCGAAGAGTGAAGAACTGTGTTGTGAATAATTGCGTTAAAATCAGTTAATCCGAAGAGACGAACATTTGGAAGGCTGTATTGTAATTGTAATAATTATACTTAAATATTACTAATTTTCTGTATATTTGATTATTTATAGTTGGTTAAGGTTAGGGTTAGTTTGTATGTTGATAGTATCCAAGTATATACCAGTATTGATAACATTAGCAGAACGTGCAAGTGCGCTTCGCAAAGGCAATTAGCGAACTTATCAACGTGGTTTTTCCTCGAAGAAGCTAGAAGTAATGAAGCCAAGCAAACTTTTCCTTTATGATGTTTTCTGTCTTGGTCCCGAGCAAAGTTATAGTTCGGCCCGGTAACTACAGTCGCCCTATATAAATGTACATCTAAACTTCATCGAAGTTAGATTACACAGCGTATGTTTTAATTATGAGAGCGGAACAGTACAGCTCAACTGATATTGAAAGCAGTTCTCTTTGCTTCAACTTCTGCCGGATAACATATGATTCGTCGTGGAATTCGAAATTGCGTGTTTCTAAAGAAAATATCGAATTCACATCATTTCTCGGTCCCATTGGAAACCACAGGAAAAAATCATTCCCAGTAGTGATCATAGTACAGACACTACATTTCGCTAATCACCGCAATTTTCCGTAGACGATCAAATATTGTCTTAAAGATCGTAGGCGTACCAAGGATAGGCTGTCGCGACGTCTACACTCGACGCATCAGACTGTTCTATATGCAAATGCGCCAGAAGTCGTCGTAAGTCTCGGCGGAATGCAATTTTGCATAATAACTTGCAAGTGGTTGATTGGATCTGCGACGTTACGATGCATAGTACATGATGAAAATCACAGTCAATATCTCCTCGCGCATCTACTGTTTACTCCCGCTTGTTGTCGGGGTAGACCGAGGCGAACAGGATCACGGTACGGAACGGACGGAAATAAAAACATTGGCTTTATTGTTACGTTGTTATAGAAATCAACGTGTTGACGTACGAACATTTTGCTGTCGCGACAAATGTTCCCTGATTCTAATATTGTAGAACAACGGTCGCATGTTTTAGCAGCCGGCGAGCGGGCTCGGACGTCGATGAATAAATACGGCGAACGAGGCGGAATTGTTTTCGTATCGAACGAGCGATTGCATTCTTCATTCCCCACGTCGGCCTCTCTCTTTCTCGCGCGTATACAAAACAGAGTTATCTGATTCGAGCGTTGTCCGTAAACACTCTTATTATTGCATTCACGGTGAGCCACGGTCGAACGGGGCGATGTTTCGCGTATGCTCGTGTTCGACGCGAAGTGGATCATAATCCTTGCAATACTCTCCTATTTTACTTGGGTATAGTCATTGCACCCTTTATGGTGGCATAGGTTTTGCAGTCGAGATTCACCCTTTTGCGAATCGAATACTTCTACGTATATATTTCATTTAAGAGAAGATCAATTAGGAGGAAATCCAAAATTTTATTACAAACGAGTGTGTTATATATTTATCTGAAAGGAGAAGTATGTTCGTTTGATGAAATTATGAAAACTATTGAATACATTGTTAATTCGTATTCATATGGGGGTATTTATTAATTTTGTACTACATAGGTTTTGTTGTAATCATGGAAGAAAATTCGGCTAGAGAGTTAATCTAATATTTCGATTGGTCCTTCTGTTGCAGGCAATACTTATCGCCCTGGTGCTTGGTACTATCATCGTCGGAACCGTGATCGGCAATATACTGGTCTGCGTCGCCGTGTTTCTCGTTAGGAAGCTGCGAAGACCTTGCAACTACCTGCTGGTGAGCCTGGCAGTTAGTGATCTCTGCGTCGCTCTTCTGGTAATGCCGATGGCGTTGCTCTACGAGATCTCCGGTAATTGGTCCTTCGGCGCAATTATGTGCGACGTTTGGGTTAGCTTCGACGTGCTCAGTTGCACGGCCAGCATCCTGAACCTCTGCATGATCTCCGTCGATCGGTGAGTGGTATCCGTGGTACCACAAGTTTAATGCGAAACTAGATCCCCATGCTCGATCGGCTGTCTCGAACATAATTCCACCTACCCCTGCGCACGAACAATGTTCACGTCTGAATCGTTCTACTTGTACGTCATTTAATTGCACGGGAAAGATGATCGTTGTTAGAGGATTCCTAAGCTCGGCTTCTATTTAAATGCAGTAGATTAATCTACTTATACTTTGGACAATGTTATGAATATTTCTTTGTCACTTTGATATTTTCTAATGGACAACACTTGGTAAAAAGCAGTTAAATTTAATTGTTTGTATATTTCTTGTATGGTTTGTAAAGAGATCACTTGGGATGTCCAGCACAAAAATTGCAGCTGTAAACTCGACTATCCGCGACACAGATCATTTCTGCAGATAATTTCACGACGCGAAGTAAACGGTTTGTCGTTCGTTTTACGCTCGACACTAGTTGCTCCGCTTTACGGCGATTTTAAGGGCGCGTCTTCGCGCGAGTTGCAATGGAACCAAGGAAACGGGCAGGACGAAGTGGAACAGGGTCTCCTCTATCCGTTTGACGAGGCGAGGGAACCCGGATTCTGTTCAACCCCTTAGCTGCTGAACCTTCTCACGAAACAGTGTTGCTCAGACTTCAAATCAAGTTTCACTCTTGTCATTTGCTTATAAACAACAAATTATAGCAGTTCGATTGGTAATGATAAAACCTTCTCGTTTCACAGAAAAACCATACCCTATAATTCAGAGAAGTTAAACAAGGTTCTTGCTGTTATGAAACAGAAGTTCCAACCAACCGGCAAACAAATTCAATTAAAAACTTATAGTTCCTTTTAGACGATAGAATATCAACTCAATCTCGTCGTTTCCTTCTGAAATGATTGGAAAAACCAAGTGCCATTCAATTATCTTTTACAAATTAAAAATTATCTTCATATTATCAATCGTTACGCTCTACACGTAGATACGAATGAATCGGGAATTCTTTTGTACTTTCGGGTAAATTATCAATGACAGAAGTTACCATAGTCAGAGAAGTTATAACAGAACCCATAGGACAAAGAGTTAAGGGGTTGATCAGCCGCCGATTAATTTGTTAGCCCGGCCTTGTACAAGCTCGCCGTTCTGACGCAGATTCTGTGCCATAACGAAGCCACTGAAATACGGGGTGAAAAGGACTCCGCGGCGGATGATCGTCTACGTCAGCCTGGTGTGGCTGGGCGCGGCCTGCATCAGCCTGCCGCCGTTGCTGATTATGGGGAACGAGCACACCTACTCCGACACCGGGGCGTCGCACTGCGTTGTCTGTCAGAATTTCTTTTATCAGATCTACGCCACTCTGCTGAGCTTCTATATCCCTCTCTTCGTCATGATCCAGGTGAGGCTCCTCCCTTGGTTCCTATTTCTAATCATTTATCATTGTTGCTGCTGTGCGATGCCGCGTCTGAACGTTAACACTAGAACTACCAGTCAAAATGACTGGTTTTGATGTTTTTGTTTAGCAATTATGATTTTGAAAATAAATAGTTTAATTTGAGTACTATAATGAGTGTCTGAAGAAACTGAAAATAATCTATTGTTACAATTTTTATAGGAATTGCATATTAATCGTATTAAATGCTCGGTAGTTCTAGTGTTAAGAAAGTTCGTCAAACGGAAGTTAACCCCTTGCCTTCTGACAAAAAGAATTTAACTAGGAAATTCTTTTGAATTATAATTGATTACTAAAGAATTCAAATTTTAAGCTAATCCTAGAAATCGTTGCATACGTTACAACTTAATAGAATATGCATAGAATTTTTCTTAGGTAAATCGTGAGTGCCTCAGTAGTTGTGAAGCAAATCATAGGGTAAGGGGTTAATAAAGGCAAGGTCGCACAAGTCTTTCAACTTGAAATGCATCGTTATCTTTCAGTCGTTAGGTTGGAAAATGAACGTGGATATAGATGAACGCAGAATTCTTCGTTTATGGTAAATTATTCATGGAAAAGTAATCTCAGCGAGCACGGTTATGAAGAAATCACAGGGTGCACTGTGATCGTAGCGTGCGCGAAATAATTTGGATAGCCGTAAATAGTCAGCGAAATGAATTGATTTGAAATTTATCGTCGGTATAAAATGGTAGGAAAATGAATCTATCGAAATATACTTTCACGTGTGCGCTTCGTTCTCCGGGAAACGATACGTCGTGTAAGAGAAACTTTATTCTCCGCCGAGTAATGTTCGTTAAACGTATAGTGCTGTTAAACGCGTCGAAAGTAGTTGAGAACTAATGATCGGACGCTTCGGGAACGATGACCTCTCAGTGTGCAGGGTAGTAATCAGAAACACTCTTCAGATCTTCAGCGAAGTTTAATGAACGCCGTGCAAGGCGCAAAGTATTCGAAGTATTCGGGAACTCGAGCCCGGCGGAAGTTTCAAAGAATTCGTGATCGGAACACCGGGAATAGTCTTAAATTCCGACTAATCGATCGAGGAATTTACTTTTGAAGTATCCACGTTTGTTTTCACAACGAAGATGTTCATTATAAATCTATTCCAGCACTTTACACTCTACCGCTTATGACATTTATACAGCTCTGCAACTTGAAAATCAAAGTTCTGTCGTTTCACCCAGTATTTCGATAGTTTCAATACACTTCCTTCGTCGACGCGGAACTCCGTCGCAGCGAAAGGGTTAAGAATCGGCCGACTAAAGTACTCGTATCGGGACACGGTGAATGAATTGTTAACCCTAATTCGATTAATAGAGACGCCGACACTGTAAACTTATTAGAGGGCCATCGAAATTTAATAATGCATCGACCAGCAGCCAAGTTAGTTATCTTGATCTAGTCGAGCCTGATTAATGAATTAGCAAGTGTATTACGTTACCCGGATCGCTCGTAGGATATCGAGGATGATGAATACAGCGTACGAAGCTGACTAGTAAAATCAGATAAAACAGCCGCGCCCGGCTCGCTCCCACGGGGATCACGGTCCCCGTTATTTTATTAGCTCATAAAATATTTCGGATTTTTAACTGCCACTTCGGCCGGAACGCTCCGCGTTTTCGGGTGTCCCGCAAATGTTTACCCCGTAAAGACGGCGCGAAAAAGGTCGTTTACGGTTTTAATGAATATCCCGTGACACGCGCGGGATTCGCCGGCAATTTGCGGCTCGCTGCTCGCGACGCGTCACATTTTACAGCGTTAATTAAAGCGACGCCCGGCCGATAAAAGCGGAACCGCCGCGATCAACGAAGATGATTCATCGCGCGCGCGGCAATTATTCCTCTGTTATTATGTCAGTTCACGTTAACGTTTCCCCGCGGCCGCGAAGAGGCGCGCCCCCGGCGCGGTTTGCGACCGCCAATTATTTTCATGGGTGTGTTTACCGCACGCGAAACCCCCAATCAATCGGGAACGCCCGGGAATCAACGGGGGAAAAAACGGAATTGTGGACTCCGCTGATTGCCCTGTTGTGTAACCGAGAATTTGTAACCTTTCCGTCGTGATTCGATCTATCCCGCCGGAACTGCCTGATCCTTCGCTTGTTTATCTTCGAATGCCGGCTTATGGACGCTTCTATGGATCACCGAAGTTTCTGGAGATCAGGATTTTTACGAAGCAACGAGGAGTCAATTAAACTTTCGTCGGACTCTGTAACACCTTGGAATCTTGTATTTCGTAATTCGGGTGTGCTCTTAATCTAGGTGATGAGAACTTTAAGATTTTCAGTTGTACTTTTGTCTTGTGTAGATGAATACATTATATAAAATTTAATATTGAATTTTCGGTTTCACAATTTTCTTGGGGCAAATCAAATGGCGACTCGAAGGCGCCTGTCGAGTGCAAAGGGTTGATTACTCGAATATCAATAGATCAGCGCGTATTCCCATTATTCTACTGTTCAAGCAATCGATATATAATATATCTACATCCGCCGACAGATTTCTATATTCCAGAGAACGTTCGTCCGTAAAGGTTTAATTACTCCCGACCCACATATTTTCCGGTAGAATAACAACAAGTATCCCCGACGATAACACGTAAACAGTGATTGCAGCCGAGGTAGACCGTAGAACGGTATCTAATCTCGCAGCCCGGTTGAAGACGAATCGCGTTTCAGGTCTACTACAAGATATTCTGCGCGGCGCGCAAGATAGTCCTGGAGGAGAGGAGGGCGCAGAGCCACTTGGAGGCTCATTGCTATCTCGACATAGAGCCCGCGGTGCAGCAGCACCACCACCACCACCACCCGGTCCCTGTGAACCGTCAATTAAGCACCGACATACACGCGACCCACGGAAGCCCTCCCGTGAAACAGCACCGAAGTTCCAGCGCCTCGACGACGGTGAGTAAATGAATCGATTCGACGGCGACGGACCGTCGTCGTCGTCGTCGTCGTCGTCGTCGGCGGCGCAGACGACGAGGCCCGGCTCTCCTTCTGTTTGCGAACGGTGCACACCCCGTTGACAAATCATTCCCTCCCCAGCCTTCCTCTAAGCTCCCTCGAGTCACCGATGACGAATCGGTGCCGCCAACTCACGCCCACGCTTACGCACCGCTTCGCCCCGCTTGTCGACTGAACGGGCCCGCGATTAGCTGAGGTCCTCTCTCGACGAGACCACTATTTCGCTGTCTACGATCATTCCTTTCATTTCTCTCCCTTTGTCAACGCGATCACTGCGAGAAGGCTTCTTATGGGACACTTGTTCTTCCGTGGAAGATAAAAGGAAACGGGCATTCGTTATTGTGTCACGGTTCTTACGTGGTGCTCGTTTGAATTCCACAGAAGCTGCTCGGGTAAATTTCACTGCGCCGACTCTAGCTTGCCAGTCACTCACTGTCTTGAGCTCGGTGTAGGGAAAATAAATAGAATGAAGGGAAAGAGTAGACACGGGTCAGAGAGGTTCTGCGTGAAATATAAGATGCAGGAAATTTGAATTTGCAGTGATTTTGACCTTTCACTGTTGGGATTCGTGATTGTGGAATTTAAGCGAGCATTACTATAGCATGCTATTAATCTTTTAATGTAGAATGTCGCTGTAATGGCGACTTCGAGCTTGAATATCTGGAATCGGGAACTGCAAATGAGTAATTGAATTATTCGACTAAGGGAGTGAGGTGTGGTTATTTTCTTTTAGTGTTTAGGACTTTGATGTATGATTCGGTTTATCGTGAAGAGAAGTGATGGAAGTTCGAGAGTCTCGTCGGGGAAACGTGCTTATTCGACGTTAATCGTTTTGGAAACTATTGGTTTTAAGTGAGGTTGGCAACTATGTCTGGAAATGAGATTTGTTTCTGATGCGTATAGCTGTTAACATTTCTGCGCTTACAAGTGCAGTTTGGGTTTACGCTATTTGGGAAATTAGTGTTTATTGTGGATTGAGAAGACTATTGTCAAACTATCTGACTCGTATCTTTCCGAAGGAAATCTCGTTGATTCCTGCCTTTTATATTAAAAACGAGACTTGCTTTTAAAGTATTTAAGAAAATTAGTTACCGTCTTCTCGTACAATATCCGATCCCTCTTTGTTCAGTTGAACTGCATACTTCGTGCGCCGCGGAAGGAAATTCATCTCTCTTAGCTGGGAAAATAGAATGTGACGAGTTCCGAAGACGGAATACTTTTAATCCTCGTAGATTGATTGCTTTACGTAACGCGAGGGCCCGGGGGTAGCCTCGTCGCTGGCATCTCGTCGAATATCCGGCCCGTTTTTCGCGGGTGTAATTGCATATTTCATTCGGAATGAAAAACAGTTCTCCCTTCGACGGGAGACTAGAACGCTGCGGATTTTGAAGATGGAACGCGTTTAAATCCCGCGGACGGAATAACGCAGTCAGTGGAAAGGGAAGTTCGGTATCGTTGCTACCTTCGCGTTTAATATGCAGCAGGTTTTTCTTCGCTTTGATCGTACTCTCTGAATGAGAATTACATTCTCTCGATTGCGAAAGTACCATCCATTCAATCGGGAAAGGGACGTTGAATCATAATGAACAAGTTGCGTGGGTATATCGCACACTTTGATCCTGTTTTATAATGGTAATTATAATACTTTCTCTTGATCAAAGGAATTATGTCACTGATTCAGTGAAAATTAATCTCTTCTATTGTTATTAATTATTAGATATTATTAAGAATTCTAAATTCAATTCTTAGCAATAACAATGGAACATTCCCAGTTGCTTTGTACAGTTCTGTTTGCAGAAAGCAATTGTTCAATTATTAAATGTTACTCCTTTAATACATTATACGAATGGGTAAGAGAAATTCCTTAATACCCGATGTATTTTCTCCCTGTTCTAACGTGTCTTAAACACTTTCCTCTTTCACAATTCCCCCCACTTTTGAACTGTACTTCCCCTGCACCCTTGGAATTCAAGCCTTTATTCAACTAATTCCATAAGAATCATAACTTCACATTTTCCCCATACACTCTCGACCCAATTTACATAATTTTATTTGCAACAGTAGTATTTAGAACATCAGTGTTATCTTAGGAATATTCTCCAGCACTGTTTCTATTATTCCAAAAGGAGTACAAAGTATCATCCGTCTTTATTCCGGTTCCAAAAAATTTGCATAAACCTCGCGCACGCTGCATCCAGGAGAATTGAGCGAGCATAATTTTTTTATCTTCCTCACGGTGAACAGCGTATTTGCCGGGGAACGGTGAATTATTTGTCGGTCAACGTTAATAGATGATGCCTCGCGCGCATCGGTAGAGACCGGTTGCTCCAGCGAGAAAAATAAATCGGTGATACTCGAGTGACAAACAGTGGAAACTACGTAATGATCGGACCACTCGCGTCGGCGAAGTTCCGCGCGATCTCGCGCGAACCCCGTCGAAGTACGAACTCGAATTTTTCATTAACGAAGCGGGTTCCACCGGCAAAATTTTATTCCACGTCCTCGAACTACTTCTTTTACGCGAGAACTTGGTTCTCCGTGAGGTACGACGTCTCGAGGTTCGCGCTAAAAAATTTCGCTTCACACCTGACTCCCATTTTCGCGAAGAAGTTCGCCCTTAGTCGTACAAATGCATCCGCGGCGAAAAATTCCATTAAAACGCCCGATATTTTTCATTCGAAGCGTAAGCACGCGTGACCGTTAATTGAGTTACTTAACGTTTCAATCAGTTGCGAAAATATTTGATCGCTTACGACGCTCGCGGCTTGGAAAAAGAATAAACGAAAGATAACAATGGTTGTTAATTAATAATTGTTATTTTATCATCTCCCGTCAGTTATGGAGAAATTGAAGTATACAGTGTCGGGGAAATTGCGCAGAAAATTCGAGAAAATCGGTTGAAAGATGTAACAATGGGAGTATATATTTCCTTGGAGGTCGTTTTCTGAGAGATCAAGGTCATCGATGTTTCTCTCAATCGAGTTATGTGTTTTTATTATTGCAATGACTGTTCCAGATTAGTTCCTGCATTATTAATTACATAGATGTACCATTGGATTTATTATTCATGGATTACGAGAGATTACGCCTCGCACTATGTTTGTCGGAGTTCATTAAAATTTCGCTGGATACTAGACGAACATCTCCGCATATTTCCAGCGATGTGTAACATTGTAAACGTAGTTACGGTGACGAAGTTATGAGGCCGGCAGCCAGAAAATTATTTCTTGTGTCGCCTGGGGATATCGCATAGTTCGCACGTGGGCGACACCGAGTTTTCTAATAAACCGGATTCCACGAATATGCGAGTTCAATACTTCTTGCTTCGAGTTCGCGTGTTACAGTTCAATTTGACATTTTCAAATAATAATAATGATAATAATAATGACCAGTGCAGAGCCTGTATTAAATATTATTCCAAAAATTCTTGAATGACATTTCAAAAGCTGTTGAATATTATTCAGAACTTATTAAATATTCCAACCGAAATATTTAATGTCCATTAAACTGTGACATCATGCACGCGAGAGTTAAGCCGGACGCATGAATATTTTCAAATTACCGTTTTTTTCCATGGCTGCGACGACTGTATTTCGAAAAAATCGTCGGCGCTCGAGGTTCCCGGAATTAAGATCCCGGTGAACTTCCGGCCGCGTCCGGATTCAGCAAACAAAAACCAAGGGGGGCCGGGCAGGTTTGACAAAAGCGCTGCTTCGCCCTCGTTATCGTTGAATTCTTGGCCCGGCTGATGGAACATGCCATAAATTCACCTTTCCCGCGTTGCACGGAAATGCAGGAAATTCAGAGGGAGATGTCGGAGCAGCTGTGACACTGTCGCGCACTTTTACGGGCCGGGCGCGCTTTTTAAAAAGAAAACAAAGGAGAACGGGGCAGGGGATTCTCGCCCCGACACCTCCGGAAGTTGTCGTATCGAAAACAATTCGGATTTTTTTAATTATCCGAAGGGCTTTTCGCTCTTGCATCAGCTGAGAGTGCACGGCGCACGAAAAATGCGTGTTTCCTGCGCCGCGTCTCGGATAATTCAAAGTTCTTGCGATTTCCGTGCGTCGTTCTTCCCTTTTTTCTTTCGGAATTTTGTATTCAACGGCTGCGTTTAATTAAGTCTTACGGAATGAAATCTCGCGCTTCAATTTTCTTCGTGGATGTAATGAAGTTTGATCGTGGGATCCAAAGGAAATTTATATGCAATGAAAATAATACTAATAATAATAACAATAATAATAATGATAATGGTAATAACATTAATATTAACGTATATGATTTCTCGTTCACGAAATTTATAATAAATTCCACGAATATCGCTGCGCAAAATTGTTCTTTAGGCGTGTCGATACGAAACGTCAATAAATCATGGAAACTGAAAGGATCGTTGCAGGACAAGTAATGAGTATTCGAATTGACAAGGTGTTCCTCGGATGTCTGGCGAGAATGTCGTCGCCGGATTTAGTAATAAACGACCACGAGAGGCCACGAGAGCCCTCCTCGTGCTCTAGATATGGGTTGAATCGGAGCCCTTGTTGAATTCGAAGAATCGAGTCGTAATCTCGTCGGTCTTAACGCGTGGGGAGCGATGAAAGAAAAAAGAGGGTGCAAAGATGGAGGAGAAGAATGATAACGAGGACGGGGCGGAAGAGTTATCCGGGGAAACTTCAAATTAGGTTGCCCGATAAAATCTTTGTGGGCCACGTTTATGCAACCGACTCCTCTCCTCGACGGTTGCATTTCGAGAATTTTTTAAGGGGACATTCAATGACACTCTCTTACGACTCGTCTTGAATTAAATTAACTCTCATTTCTTTCGATGAAAAATATGAAAGAAACTACCCTAAAATTATCCGATTTTCCGCACATCCAAATTCTGTACTAACAAGGAAAATAAAAGATCGATCTAGGAATACTATAAAAATTAGAAAGAACAA